TATATATATATATATATATTGAGATGCTATATAATACCTAATAATATTAATTTGATGATAATTGATTTCAATTACTCAATATTATATATGTTATATATAATATATAATTATACAATTATATGTATATTGTACATATTAAAATATAAAAATATACAAACAAAATTAATCTCTTTTTTAATATTAAATATTAATTCATTATTATCTTTTAAAAATTAAATAATTTATATATATATATGTATATGACTTAAATTATTATTTTTAAGGATCTTCATATGATTAACCTTATAATTACTGAAATCTTTTGTCAGTAGAATTTTCATACAAGTGTAAAAAAAATTCTATCTTTTCATAAAAATTTTGGTAACATAATATTTGTATAATTTTATTTTATACTCCTATATTAATTATATAATTTAAGAATATAAACAGTGCACAGTTAACTATTATACATTGTGCCCGCTTAATTATCATACAGTTATCCTCACCAATTGCTAGAATAAAAACGAAATTTTCATATATATTCGCTTTTAGAAATTTAAAAAAGAAAATATAAAAGCAATGTAAAACAAAACACGTATTCCATTTCTTTATTACTATTTATATGAGTTAAAAATATTTTTCTCTATACAATAAAAATCCTCGTATAATTGTTACAAGTATTAGAAGTAGAACGTAAAATCGATGTACTTTGATTTAATTAATAATTAATCTATACCAAAAAAATTGTTCAGAATGATAATCTTGATGATATGATTCAAAGTCATCGAAATTAATAAAGCTATTTTAAATAATTATAACAATTCTTAAAAGTAATAAATTGAAAATATTAATATTATTAATAATAAAATTGAAAAATATTAACAGAAATTCTTTATTTCGTTAGAATTTGTTTATTATACATACAGATTATAGAATAATAAGGATTTGATTTACAAAGGATTGATTTCAGGAGATATGCAACGAGTGTTCTTTATCAAATCGTTCACACTCGCAGTTAAAATTCGAAAATTCACATCATTGAAATCAAAACCGTAGAATAGTTTTTGTATTCTGTTACTTACAACCAATACATATTCATATTCAACAGGTAATCCACTTATAACGATAAATAAAAAGTTTCTTTTAACTTTAAGACCAGTAATGGCTTGAAGAGTTTCTTTATTCTTGGCGACCACTTCCTGTAATTTCAAAATAAATTTTACTTTTTAATTAATCAATTAGTTTCTCAATTAGTTTATTTTTGATCGATCGACATGATCATTTAATCAAAAGTTATCTGATAGTTTTAAAAATTCACGCAGCCATCTTTGATTTAAAAAAAAAAGTCAAAGAGATAAATCTATTATTAATTTATTGCATAAAAAAGAAAGTGTTATTAATTTATATAAAGCAATTTTTCATTAGAAGAAAAGTGTATTTGTATTTCAAAGAAAATGTGAAAAAAAATACGACTAACAATATTTCTTCTGTCAAGTAATCGATTCTCGTTCCAGCAAGCAAGAGATGTATCACCCACAAGTCCGAAGAAGAGAACACCATTATCCGATATTCCTTTAGCCGATGCTTGAGTCCATAAAATATTTTCTTTTCTGAAATTGATAAAAATATAGAAATATATTTTAACATATTCGTGAAACGCTTTAAGATCGAAAAAAAGTTAAGAATTTTTAATTTTTCCAATTTTTGTGTTTTTTTCGTTCTAGATAGAATCGATTTTCCAAAAAAGATTGCAGATTAATACATAATATGAATAATGTTAAATACATTATTTATCGATATATTTACCCTTCATAATGCACGTTATTCGCCTGATATTGTGATTTTATGAACTGTTCCGTGTTGATATAATTCAATCTGTGAGAAGTCAGAGCGCTATAATAAAGATTTTGGGTCAGAGGACTTAGTGCCATTCCAAAAATTCCACTTTGCAATATAAAGCTCTCTCCGTCGATTGTGAATACGCTATATCTAGGATCACTTGCGAAGGTACTTGAAGTCAATCGTTGGAAAGAATTATCTGAATTGTTGTAGATAATTAAAGCGAAACCTTCGTTGTCTCCTATGTACACCTGTTGCAAAATTATACGAAATATATAATTTTAATCGATATTATAATAATATAATGAAAACAAAGGATAAAAAAAAATAAATATAAAGTACACGTATTAAAAAATAAAGAAAAATAAATGTGCATCAAAAATTTAATATTTTTAAATAATTTGTTCATTTTCATAGCTATCGTACTGCATTTAAAATATCAAATAAAAAAATGTTATTTTATATATTTTTGATTTATTTTTTTTTTTACGAAGAGTTTTTTTTACACCTCCTGTTATATTAAATACAATTATAGGATATTGTATATACAAACTATAGATACTTGTATTAAATTTTAAAGAACTCTAAAATATAAAATTTTATATAAACAGATAATATATCATATATAAATATTTTATATATTTCATATAAATTTGTTTTGTAATCTTAAGGATATAAGGATATAATGTACGCCTGCGCATAACTAATGCCATCTATCTTGTATGACATTCAAAAAAATTGGATTAGAACTTTGATAGATGGCACTAGTTCTGTGCATACGCATATGATCTTAGCATTGCTTGCAAAGCTATGAACAATGCAATTCGTTGAGCTTATCACTGTTGACGTTAATTGCTACAATTTAGAAAGTAAGTATGATTTGTTTCATTTATTGCATCAATAAAATAATTCTTATAATGCATTCTAGCATTTCACTTTTTAAAATAAATATAGATTTGATAATAATTTTTTTTCGTATAATACTTCTTTATCATTTACAAAATGATATTTTTAATTTATTCAAACTTCATTTTTCATTTTTTAATATTAATTTTTAAATAATAGGTACAAATATGTTCCTATATTAATTTTATAGATTACTTGTACGTTTGCATTAAGTAAAATAAATAAGTGACAATTATTCAATATATAACCAACAATGAAAAAAAAAGCGCACAAGCAGATAACCTTCCGTAGGTAATAAAATAAAGAATGATAAGGTAATCGTATGTTTTCATGTAACATATTTGTAAATGAGAAAGTTATTCATAAAAAAACGAAATTATTTATAATTTTATAAATTTTAATTTTTTCACTTAATTTTATTAATTTTATGCTTCATTTTGAAAATAATATCTATTTTAATAAAAAATTTTTTTATCATTCTGGAATGAGATTATTATAAAATTCATGCAGAAACAAAAATAATCAATTCAATCGAAATTAATTTCAAAAACTTCCAATTAAATAATCTAATTTTCTAAAAAAAAATTAAATAAACAGATCATAAATTACGATGCTAAAATTAAAAATTTTTCAGGAAAAATAGAATTGTCTTTATTACACTTACAAGAGTGGATCCATTCACTTCGCAACTCAACGATTGAACACTTAGAGTCACCAGAGCTCCTCTTCCTGTGGTAGTATTCACAGCAATATCGTGCGGTATTTTGACTTGCTTTAACAATTGTGAAGTATTCAGATCGAAGACAAGAAGTTGTGGAGGACATACGGATTGGACATTATTGATGAGACCTGAGTCCAAGACCCATAATCTGTCACATATATCAATCTAAATATCGTACGTAAATTGAGCTTTTTTATTTTGAAAAATAACATTAATTTTGAATGTAATCACAGAAAAAGTTTCTGATTACCTCAATCTTGTAAACACTCATGATACCAGAGCAATTCTCATTTTTCGCCCATGTCCAATCAGGATATGGTGCTAGAAGAGGTCCACCGTTGCCAGTTTTATTAGTTATCACATTCAAAGAAGAAGGCACACCATTAAACTTCATTATAATAGCAAAAGTCTTATCTAGAAAGGAAAACATGGGATATTTCTGAATGATGATAATAATCGAAAAATTTGAATAATGAAAAAATATTACGGAATAATAATCGTTTAAAATAATTTACCACGCCATTGATCGGTATCGAAAAGATAATTCATTGTATAATTGTAATCGCCTGATTGAATGGCAGCTTGTCTTTTTTCATCACTACCGAAATCGTAATCAATATATTTCCATTCGTAAATGACTTTCAACGAATTTGTCAAATTTCTTGAATGAATGTCTGTAACACAAGCTATGCCAAGATACATCAGCAGCAACCACCTTATCATTTTTCTGAAAAATATTTTCTCTGGTCAAAAAGATAAAAAATTTTAATAAATATCAGAACTGAGGCATATGAACTAAGGCGTATGAGATATTTTACTACTGACAATTAATTTTAAGGAATGTAAGCAGTATATCTGAATTGCGACTGTTAAATTATGACGAATTGTCACGGTTGGGCAATATATAAGTAGTAATGACCTATATTTTGCCTATATCTGGAGATAAAATGAATTGTTTGTTTTGTCAAAATTTGCGTTTATGTTTACACAAAAGTATTTTAAAGTACATTTAAAAAATTCCAGTATGATAGGTTATAATTTAAATCCAATTAAATGAAAACGATACAATATTTTATATTCTATTATTCCTTTGTGCTAATTAATAATATAATAATAATATATATAATATAATAATATAATTAATAATATAATAATAAATAATAAATAAATTTATAACAAATTTATATATTATAATTAATAAATAATAAATAA